TAGCATCAGTCAAGAAAAATAGCTTAAAACATAGCTTCAAAGAGTTGCTCGCAAGTATGGGAGAAAATAATAATTAACGATACTAATTAATTATTCTTAGACAACCAATATAACATGTTATATAGGAATTAGTCTTGACTTTTACTCTACAATTGAGCAAAAAGCTTAAATTCAGGGTTTTCTTGTGTTTGTGCTGACTGCATGCGTTCCAGGCCTCTTAGGCAGGTTTAAATGCCTTTACAGGATGTGAAAACGTGTCAAGTGAAGGGTTATGTATTCATAAAGTTGATAAACATTTGCAAGAGAGGACAATCCCCTATTGCCAGAAATTTGCACAGATTACTTTTTTTTTACATTTTCGTGCTTGATATTTGTTCTAAACCTATACTCAAAACTTGCCCAGAAAGGCAAAAAATTGCTCGAGGTTGCTATAAGTGCAAAAAGTTGCTCAAAAGTTGCCGAAAACAATCTGGAGATGCCCAGTTGGAACTAAGGGCTCAGTCAACGAAAAATCACATTTCACGACGGTTTCCCTAATAGGGGAGCTCCACGTGCACGAAGCGGGCGAAGCGGAGCACCATGGGTAAGAAAATTTGGTAATCTACCCTTTCGAGAAGTTTTGGTAATCACCTGACCGTACGCCCGACCGAACGTCCGTCCGCACCACGGGCATTCCAATGTAAAATAACTCAACCAACAGGTATGGCAAACAATTGCAATTCGAGGTTATTTTGGCGGGAAATCGCATGGCCACCCGCGTCTTGTGAAGCGGAGACAGCTAAAGAGTCAATAAAGACGAAAACGGAAAGCGGAAATTGTTTCTGTTTCCTTGTTGTCTAAAGTATTAAGCTCGGATTAATTGTCATGTTCACAAATTTGGAATATAGAGAAAAAATAAAATGGGCCACGGGCCAGCGAAGCTCAACGAGAAAAAGAGCCACAGAGAGCTAGAGCGGAAGATAAGGAGCTATTTGTTGGAAGAACAACATGAAACTTTTTTAGCGGCGATAAGAAAATGAGAAATCCTAGCGGCCACCAAGGTGAAAATGAGCGAGGGAAAAAATGTGAACAACAACAGGTACGACATTTCCTCCATAAAACGTGTAACTAGGACGTTTCTGAAAGTTGCACGTTGTGGTCGTGCAAAAATTGAACAACGGCAAAGAAATGTGCAAAAAAAAGTGTGCTGCACGTGCAAAGTTGTTTTTTTTGCTAATTAGACCTATTGTTTTTTCAAGGTTCTCGTTGCTTTCGCCGCTTAGCAAAACATGATTTAATATTTTGTTTGAGCAAACTATAAATATTATCGAGAGCTTCGCTTTTAGCCCTGGCTAAATCTATATATTAAGCTAATTCAGTTGATGCCTAAAGAGATAAATTAGTCTATTATATCACTACAACAGTGCGCGCGCTCTCACTGGCTGCTAAGCGCGCATTATTTTCTTCTATTGACCGGGCATTACTAGCTAGGTGTCCAAAGCATACAGCTATTTCGAGAAAGGTTGTCGGAAAAAATGTGCACGCGCCAATCCCGAAAGGTAATATGGGATATGATCAATACACTGTTCCTGATGACTGTAGCTGTCGAGCCTACTTTTGTTGCTTTCCTTTAGCACTCGCAAACACACTTCCATGGCCTTTCGTTCCAATTCTTTCCAATTTCTTTGAATAAAAGAGAACTCAAAACCACCCACAATGCCTTTCAGGATTGTCGCGTGCACTTTTCTTGACAACCTTTCTCGAAATAGCTGTATACAATCTGTGTTTAACTTTACAGTGGACATCCTTATGGACATCCATATTGTGGTCAAGTGACATCTGTCAAAAAGGGTATCCGCTGATCAGTGTCACATGACTGTATCGTGGGCTCAAGTGTACAACTCATTAAGGTGACGTGTTTTTTAAAAGTTATTCGCTGACCAGCTAAAAATGAATTCGATTTTACAACGTTGTACGTTGTCAAACTTAAAAGAGCGGGTAAATTAAAAAAGTATTTGGTCAGCACATTAGTCCGGTTATAACCTTCCCCCGGACTCTAAGCTCCCCTCCTCCCCTTCGTTTGTTAGCCCTTCTAAAACTCGTTACGAAGTTGTGTAAGCCCAGGGGCCCGTTTCTCGAAAGTCCCGATAATTAACGGGCCCGTAAAGCTGTTGTTGTTTACATGCAAGGCAGAGGTTTCAATAGTTTTGCATCTAACGTGATTAAACTAGCAGTTAATGAAACAGAATGGAGTAGTTTGCTACCCAGAACCCGCGCTCTTATTCTTTATATTTCGGGGGGTTTGCAGCAGTTTTTTTCTACTTAATGCATTCTAATTACAAATTACTGGATAATTGTATAAAGCCCCGGTGAAACGGTCTTATCTTTGTTCTCCTACTATGTCAGTTGATCTAGATATTCCTCCGACAAACATGAATTATGTTTTAATATTCGCGCAGTTGTATCTCTTACTTTACGAAACACAAAAAGAAAAAACACAACAAAAAAAGCTATGCGTATGTTTGGGCGTGTCTAATAAAGGTGGGAGAAGGGATCGAACGGGTTCAGTATTTCAAAAGCAAGGGAAATGTTGTGACCATGTTGAAACAAAGTTCACAGGAAATCAAACCGACTTGACATATCAGAACAACATATAATATGAGGAGGCGTCAAATGCTTTCAACATCGACTGTCAACAACACTTTTAAAAAGAATATGCTTAAACAATTTTGAATCTGTTTGACCGAGGCTTTTTTAAAATAGCACAATAATTCTAGATCCAGTTATACACATCTGCAAAAGCTAATTGTAAATAAACAAAAAAAAATAATTGGATGTATTATTACAGGTGGTTAGGGCCTTTATGTTCTTAAAAAAGATTACTTGTGGTATCGTTAGGAAATAACTCTCTCTAAAGCAAATTTACATGGTACAACTTAGCGTACAACTATTAGCCAACTCTTACCTTTCACCACGCTGACGCGGGGCTTACTTTACTTTATTTAGAGCAAAATAATGTAAATGACAATGATAATGACGATGATAATAAAAATGAAGAGATAGAACCAGGAGCCAGTTGATATTAGAATTTTCGGTGTTACAGAATTGAACTGCTGTTTGGGAATGCATTCGGTGCAAAATGTTGCAAATATATATAACTTTAAACAAGCCATTCAAAGAAATGGCTCAAAAAAAAAGAAAAATTCAGGAAGGCATTCATTTATTCTTTTCTATTGTATTTTTCTGTTCTTGTCCTGGCGATGCGTTTAAGTTGTGCCATGTAAATCGATCTTTTTTAACTACAAGAGGTCTCAATATTGTGTAAAAAGTTGTACAGTGAAAAGCAAAATCAATAAATTCATCCATTTAACTGTCTGACTCTTTTCAAATTACACTGGAGCCTCGATATAACAAAGGGCCAAGGAACTGCAAAATTTGTTCACTATAATGAGGTTCGTTATATCGAGGTTCTTTTCCATATATTTTACTATTACTTATTAAAAAATCCAACCTCGTCCCCAGGGCGCTTTTTGCTGGATTTGGAGGTGGGGCGGACCTCATTAGTTGCCGGTTTGGCTTTCATGGTACTTAGTTGCTTTTACAAGAGCAACGTCAGTTGTTCAGGGGCACACAGCGACTTTTTTCTGTAAAATAACTGTTCGAAGGAGGAAATATCGCCTAGAAATTTGCAAAGCTTAAGAAAAGCTAAAATTTCTGGATAACCGTTCCCTTCGTCTGAAATATTCCAAGGTTTTTGTGATAGCTTAGCTACGAATTTCGGAGGTTGGGTTATTCACATTTTAATACCAAGATGTTGCGATTTTTGTTAAAAAAAAAAAAGGTCTCCTAAAACTTTCGGTCCCCTATAACGTCCCCTATAATTTTCTGATGAAAACAAGGCTGCTTCATGTCCCCGAACTTTCAACCGGACCTATAAAGCTAACACTATCGGATGAGACGAAAAAGCCACCTAAAACTTTCTTGACGACCAAAGTTCCCTTAATACATCCGAACAGATAAATAGTTTTTAGGGCAACTCCAAATTAGCCAAAAAGGCTTCTAAACTGAGCATAGAGAAAGCCACTGTGATCTGAGACACTTCTGGCGTATTTGGAAACATGCATTCTGTCGCTGGGTACCCCTGGTTATTCTTTATCGTGGCGAGAACGGTACAGCTGTGAAATAACATAGACTTGCCAGATCCAGTTGGTAAGACTCCAATAACATCCTGGCCTTTCAGGACAGATTCAAAAGATTTTACTTGAAGTGGTTTAAAATTAAGCTATGGAAAGTTGCCGTTACTCAGGGAAAATCCGACCCGGCGAGGCACTGGTAAAAACTCTGGTCTACCCGCCATCTTCGATGTTTTGTTTATCGTATGCGGTCGCATGCTAAT